TTTTTTTTATACCTTGTGCTTTATCATTAAAATTAAATTAATATCATAAAGTTAATTTTAATTTTTTGTATACTGAAAATTTATATTCATGATTAAATTCAAATCTATGTCAGAATCAATATGTAAATCACAAATTATTCCTGATTCAATATGTTTTTGCGGAGCGAAAAACCATTTCATGTCATTATGATTAGAATGCATCTACAAAATGTCTTGCTCAACATTAACAAATTTAAAGGAGTAAAATTACAAAATTAATTAAATGTTAATGCACTTTTTTCTTTTTAATTTGTTTTCGATTGATAAATCATTTTTTGTTAACTAATTTGTTGCTGTGAATGTAATAGTTAAATCATAGTCATAAACAACGGAAATAATTTAAATAATTACAATTAGTTAATTACAATATAAATAATGCAACTAATTTTAAAATATTAGATCGGACGAAGTTTATGACTTTGCATTCAGAACATAATCTTAAAAAGTATAACCCTATAGCCTCTGTAACTCTGTGGGGGAAACATTTTGAGCGTGTTAGGTGGGTCATCTTGACCATCATTTACTAGCAGGTGTTCCTTTGTAACACTCCTTACAATGCCCTTTGTTCATTTTGGGGGGAATAAGTTTGTGACGAACCGTATCTGTCATCTTGCTGTCTATAATTTGCTTTATAAACAAACATAAAAGGTTTATATTATAGACAGCAATTATGGTGAAATGATAACCATTTTTCATTTTTTGTCGTTAATACTAGAAATAGATAAAAATATCTTCCATTTTACCTTTTCCAGCAAAAAATGTATTTCTTTAAGAAAAAAAAAAGAGTCGCAATAACGGAAGTTTTAGTATTGTTTAACTCGTCATGAAAATACAAGTTCTGTAACTTTATTAGCATTTCAACGGTGATTTAGAAAATTGTCGCAATAGCGAAGTTTTCGTAATATATCAATGCCGTTATATCAAGCTCTTACAGTATTTAATCAGATTTTATAGCTACAAAATACTTATTAGTTTACTAGAAACTTACCTCGATTAAAATCCGGAAAAATACTGCATCGGACAATAATGTTTTCCAATCTTCTTGCCGCAAATTGCACACCTTATAACGGTAAAATACTTAATAAGTGAAAATATAAATGTTATGATAGATAAATGGATTTAAAAAATTATAAATGAAATTATTAATAGATTGTACCTGTAATTGAAGTTAGTTTAGCCTTTCACTGATTGTGCTTTGTTTATTGTTTTTGTTATCGTTACACGTACATAAACAGTTTATATGCTCATTTCAAATTGCCGCTTCTAAGCTATTGCCAAGCTGAAGATAGGTATTTTATCTACGTCGCACTAGAGCTGCACAATGGGTTATTGGCGACGGTCTGAGAAACATCCTTGAGGATGATCCGAGGACATGCAATCGCGATTTCGATCTTCTGCAGATGACATGGCTCTCCCGCTTTGGTTGACTGAAGACGCGCACGCGAAGTAGAGCATTTTACTGTAAACCAGTTTAACTCCCCCTCGAACCCTACGCAGTCTGATCAAAGTGATCACCCACCCGCTTACTGACCGCAGCCAGTGATGCTTTACTTCGGAGTTCTACTGAGAACTGTGTCTTTACGATCAGTCCACAGCGGGAAGTCAAGTTGAAGAATAAATAGCACAAACTAGGGAGGGACATCACAAAGATGCATCGAATTATGGTGGGGTCCGAACCCTCTACCTCCACGCTAAACAGTGTATAAGGGGAGGACGATACCTCTCGACTAAAGGAGGCTCCAAGAGATCGACTAAAAGTTCGGGCATTTTTTATACGAATATCAAACGTTTTGAAATTAGAGTTTAGTGTGCCTCAACACTTTTTGAATTTAACTCTGAAAATAAAAAACCCCTTAGGCCAAACTCGCTTTCGTTGAAGATTCCGTTTTAGAGTTGCACGAATAGGAAACTCGTGAAATATTCTCGAGGTTATCCCAACACAAGAACCTTTTTTTTAATTTCCAATGACCAGAGTTACAGAAAGACCTCCAAACCGCAAAAGGGGAGGAACAAATGAGAACATAAAGAATAGAAACGCATAACAGGCGTGGCGAGAAAAAGTCTATGAACTCAATAAGTCCCTCGCGTGCCAGTAACGGTCGCACAAAGAGATGTCCTTCAGTACCGGACAACGGCGAATGCGGTCAGCATCCATCTCTTCCTGCATGTCACAGAGCTTACAGAAAGGGGTCTGTGCAACATGAATTCGATGAAGATGTTGAAGGAGGCAGTCGCGTCCAGAAGCTAGTCGAAACTAGCATCATATACAAGGAACTAGCCAGAGTTGTAGATCACTTAGCCGCAAAAGCGTTACCAGGGTGCACCACGAGGAGGTAGATCTACATTGCACCCCACACAAGAACCTTCTATCCATAGAGTGTTTCTTTGCATTGACATTGCAGTCTGTGATATCCACAAGTGAAATTTTTATTTTATACAACGATTTTATTTTCAGCTCAACTAATTACTTCACGCATCTATGAAAAATAAAGAGTTAGACAACAGGCAATTTTTTTTCAAGATTGATGTTTTAAACCAGTGGTTACCAACTGGCCACCCGCGAAGCCTTTTTTGTGGTCCGTGAACTAATATATACTATTAGTTGTCATTTTTTTGCGGAAAATTTTCGTAAAAAATCTATAATCTATCTTCGAAGGCAGGGATAGCCTGGTTGGTAGGGCACTGGGCCCATGCCCAAGAGGTAGTGGGTTCGATCCTCGCAGGCCGAAGACTCCCCGTGTAATAAATGGTGACTGATGCACGTTTAATCTGTCGAGTCTCAAAATCCCCCATGTTCCCATAACAAATCAATACTTCTGGGGGTACTGATCCAGGAGTTTTTTTGTCTTCTGGATTGGGTTCAAAATTACATGGCTACAGTGTTGAACAGTAGTAGTCGCAAACCCAAAATTGGGTCGGCTGTTCAACGACGGTTATGAAAAAGAAAAATCTATCTTCGAGCTAAAATTGAGGATCACCCAACTAATCTGGAACTGTGCGAACTTGCAGCAGATGTATTTTTGCAAACGCGGGAGGAGAAAGGGACTAATTTCTTCAAATTGTTAGATAAAGAGAGGTTTCCGAATCTGCGGGAATTCGGCCTAAAATTCACATCAATGTTTGGAGGTACATACTTATGCGAAAGTGTATTTTCATCAATGAAATTTAAAAAGAATAACAATATAAACTGTCTTACTGACTCTTCTCTTGAGACTCTCAACAACTGATCCATATCCAAGGGTATGGATCAGTAGGGTTGGTATTAGGTTAGGTCCATATCCATTCTCTGGTGGTTGTAGCAGACAAACTTCAATTCTTTCATTGAGAATTCTGTGAGCTTTGCAAGTTTTAATACCAACCCTTCTAAAGTTATATAACTTAACAGTGTGATATCTGTTGCTTATTAATTGTTTATTATATTGGCGCACATTAAAGTTATTATAGTCAGAATTTTTTAATATGCAACAAAATTTTCTGAAAATCTACCTCTTATTTTAATTTGTAAATCAATACTTTTGTTTTGCACGACTTGGTAAAAATCTGACAGCAATATTTAATGTTCCCTCGAAATAAAAGAGTTCTATATAAAATTTTGATAAAGTTGTGGCTCGCCATTTGACCGGTGTTTTTAAATACGGCCCCCTACCTCATGTAAGTTGGAAACCCCTGTTCTAAACTAAAAAATGACCATGTAAAAGAAAGGTGTTAAAAGATAAATCAAACTCAGCCTGTTTTGTAGTTAAATTCAGTTCATCAACAAAATGATGCTGTAAGACTATTTTTGGAGTAAAATAGTTATAGCCAGTACAAAAAACATTTTTCAAGCATTTAGATATTGACATCATGCCTTATGTGCCGAGAGATGGATGTCTGTAACAGTTGTCAAGTTCGTACCACGAAACCAATGAACAATATCTGTTTTATCAAGACTGTAGCAGAAAACGTTGAATACTCATGTTTCAATATCACTGAAAAAAAATTCTTTTATGGTAATAGCATACAGATATTTAATTGAAGTAGGACTGACTTAAGACATGGACTTTTCTACATGAAAATTATCTCACAACAAGCTACATATAAGGAAAAGAAAAATGAAAATGTAAAATGCAGTTGGGAATGTTAAATGCTTTTTTTTATCAAACTGTGTGAAAATACTAATTTTATGTACTTGCTATCCCTGTTTTAATATGAAAATAACCTGCAGAGCCAACTTAGCAGCAAAACCCTAAACTATTTCCTCTCAAAATAGAAAACAAAAGGTCAAAATAGTATCNCCGCACACCCTCGGTCCCTAAGTAGACTGATCCAATAGGTCACCCACCCGCACACTGACCGTAGCCAGTGATGCTTGACTTCGGTGATCTGCTGGGAACCGTGTCTTAACGATCAGTCCACTGCGGGACCTTAAGACATGGACTTTTCTACATGAAAATTATCTTACAACAAGCTACATATAAGGGAAAGGAAAATGAAAATGTAAAATGCAGTTGTGAATGTTAAATGCTTTTTTTCTATCAAACTGTGTGAAAATACTAATTTTATGTACCTGCTATCCCTGTTTTAATATGAAAATAACCTGCAGAGCCAACTTAGCAGCAAAACCCTAAACTATTTCCTCTCAAAATAGAAAACAAAAGGTCAAAATAGTATCGGTTGTAAATTTGACGTCGTACTACAGCTGCACAATTTGCTATTGGCGACAGTCTGGGAAACATCGTTGAGGATAATCTGAAGACATGCCATCACAATTTGGATCCTCTGCGGAGGGAATGGTTTCTCCCCCCAACAACCTGGGCCAGAAGTCGAGCACTTCACGGTAGAACTCTCGGTCCTTAAGCAGGCTGATCAAAGTGGTCACCCACCCGCTTACTGACTGCAGCCAGCGATGCTTGACTTCGGTGTTTTACTGGGAACCGAGTCCTTACGATAAGTCCACTGCTTTACGAGTCGGGTGATTAACTTCCACGCTGTAGGGCTTTAAACGTTTCTACTTTAAATACTGCCTGCTTGCATGTTACAGATTATTCTAACCTTTGCTTCTTCGATTTAGGGAATGTATTTCGAAGATTTGCAGAAGAGGCTCGAGAAGATGACGATCCACAATGCATTGTAGCAGAAGAACAGCACCCGGAGTTCAGATATTTCACTCCTAAAAAACTGGATGGCACTATCATAAGCAATAGACACTTTACGGACTTTGAGGCTGTAATCAAGAGCACCATAAATTTGGAAGTTCAAACTGTTTTCATATTGCACGGCTATCTAGGTGGAAATGCTCAATGGCCTATTGTAAGTTGAATTAGTGGATTCACTTTCCTTTTTAAGAATTTATTTTAGCGTCACGCACTGAACTCTCGTTCATTTGACTTGGAAGATGCCGGAAGTGTTGCTCTTTAACGGTGGGTACCTGTGAATCTTAGTCAGAAAGGCGAGCAACATTACACGCTGCACTGAAACTACAGGTTCGTAGGGTGGTCCACATTCAAACACCAGAGGACAACACAGAAAGAAACATGCATACCCTGATCAGATTCGAACCCGCAACCATTGGTTTCGCAGTCAGGCATGCTAACCGCTCGGTCACCTGGTCGGATTCTTTTTTTAAGCATAAACAGGGCAATTCAAAACGAGAGAAATAAAACTCCTACAGTGTAATTATAATTTAAATTACCCTATTTAAATCTACATAGATCTACTGCATTTCGAGTTCTTTTTTTCCAAAACTTGTTACTTGCTTGAATTTGGACATTCGTGCAATTCAAACGTAGTTTTCAAATTGCCTGCAAAAACTAAACTGAATTCGAATTATTATTACTTATCCGACTATAATTCCAAAGTATCATTTATTGGAATATTTTAAAAATTTACAGTTTTTCTAAAAACTGAAGGATCCTCCGGGATGTTTCCCAGACCGTCTCCAATAGCCCATTGTGCAGCTCTAGTGCGACGTAAATTAACAACAACAACAAAAAAAAGTAAAGGAAAAAATTTAATTTTGTGTACTGGGAAATGTAATTGATGCTAATTGGTTTTGTAACACATACCTTGGACCCGTCGGTCTAATGCGTGTGCAACTAGTCTAGTGACTAGTTCCACTAGTCTAGCCTCGCGCCCAGACATTTTAGCAAGGGATACGATAGTTATACAATATACACAATAGTTACAAACATTTTCACATTAAAATGAGATTTTAATAAGCAAACTTTTCAGATAAAATTTAATGCTAATTCATTTCAAGATAATGAATTTTACTTCATTTTGGCTCTTATTCATATAAGTGAATAACCTTCCCTCATTCACTGCATGAGAAATAAAATGTACTGTTGTAAGTAAACAATGTATGTAAAATGTGTGTGTTGTAAGTGAAAAATAATAATTAAATAAATACAGAGATAGCATGCGTGATAGATGTTTACATTGGACAATACCAAAACAGCTTTTTGAAGCTGATAACATTTACATACATTTGACCATGAAATATTTTTAGACCCAAATTGTTTTTCTTTTAGAACGTTACTTGATTCCTTCTTTCATTAAGATCTTAAATTTAGTTCAAATCAATTCAGCTGAGCCGTGATGACTCAGAGGATAGAGCGTTCGCCTTTCAATGAGATGAGCCAGGTTCGAATCTCAGCGATAGCTGGTCAGTACGAATTCCACATCCGGCTTACACCGATTACAGTGCTGATGTAAAATATCCTCAGTGGTAGACGGGTTATGGGTTAGAGTCCCCTTGCCAACCATAGGAGGTATTCGTGGTTTTCCGCTCCATTAAACGCAAATGAGGGTTATTCCATCAAAAAGTTCTCCACGAAGGCGAATTTCTCGCAATACTTGATCAAAAACGTGTTAAAAATTACAAGGTTAAGGAGTTGAACATTAGTATTCGTAAACCCCAAAAATTGGATTGACTGTTCAACGACCGTTACAAAATAAAATAAAATAAATCAGTTCAATTAGTTTAATTTTGTTCTTTTCCATAGGATATAAAGAATGCGTTGATTGAGAAGGAGAAATGTAACGTCTTTATAGTAGACTGGTCGGGATTGGATGGAAAATGGTATGGTACAGCCATGGACAACATGCGTAGAGTGGGTGAAGAGGTCGGCGTATTTATAAAAAGGCTAAAGGTAAGTCATATTTCTTAAAAAAAAAAAGAAAACTTCTAGTCCCAACGAAAAAAATCTGAAGATTTTTTAAAAAATTAGTTCTAAGAAAAACTTGAAGGCATTTTGATTCAATTTCTAAATGTGTTTATTGTCTACAGACTTTTAACCCTCTGACTTTTCTCAACCATTAAAGCTTTTCAACTGTCTAAGTCCCATTTCTTCTCTTTCCACCAAAGCTTTTTGTACCATTTCAGCCTTATGTCGATTCTCAGTCTCCAAAGATTTTTTTAACGTTTCGGTCGTATATCTTAATCTCAGCCATGAAAGCTCTTTTACCGTTTCCATCACATGTCCTCTCAGCCACAAAAGCATTTTTACTGTTCCAGTCGTATGTCTATTCTCAGCCACGAAAGCTCTTTTACCGTGCTAATTGTATGTCCTCTCAACCACCAAAACTTTTCTACTATTCCAGAAGCTTGTATACTCTCAGCTATGAAAGCTCTTTTACAGTTCCAATCGCATATCTTTTCAACCACCAAACCTCTTTTACCGTTCCAGTCGTATATCTAATCTCATCCACCAAAGCTCTTTTACCGTTCCACTGGTATGTCTATTCTCATCCACCAACTAAAGCTTTTATACTGTCCCAGTCGTATGTCTAATCTCATCCACCAAAGCTCTTTTACCGTTCCACTGGTATGTCTATTCTCATCCACCAACTAAAGCTTTTATACTGTTCCAGTCGTATGTCTAATCTCATCCACCAAAGCTCTTTTACCGTTCCAATGATATGTTTATTCTCCGTCACCAAAGCTCTTTTGCCGTTCCATTCATATGTCTATTTTCACCCACCAAAGCTCTTCTACCGTTCCAATCGTATATACTCTCAACCACTAAAGCTTATATTCTGTTCCAGTCGTATGTCTGTTCTCATCTACCAAAGCTCTTTTACTGTTCCAGTCGTATGTCTGTTCTCATCTACTAAAGCTCTTTTACCGTTCCAGTCGTATGTCTGTTCTCATCTACCAAAGCTCTTTTACCGTTCCAGTCGTATGTCTAATCTAATACAACTTCAAAAGAGTGTAAGAAGAGTGAAGTAGAATTTTAAAACCAATTCCGTCAATGTTTTTAACTTTAATTTTAAAGCGTAACTTCTCATTCCCAAATACTTTGATTTTCAGGGCTTGATTTCTGGCTTCGATCCAAAAAAGGTACACATAGTCGGACACAGTTTAGGTGCCCATGCCTCAGGTTATGCTGGAAAATGGGTCAAAGATCAAGGATTCAAAGTTGGGCGAATAACAGGTATTCTTTAACTGATACTTGCTAGTAGTTTAACTGTGACTTATGTTAAAAGCTCCTTTTGATACGCTTTATGCTCAGATTGTTCGTAATACATTCCTATTAATGTAGATTACGAATGATTTCGTAATAAGTCATCACGTGATTAATGATCATTACTTCGTGATTCATGTTTTACGCGATTTATCAATCACAAACTATCACTAGTTGTTGTTGTTGCTGTAGTTCATTTACGCAGCACTAGAACTGCACAATGGGCTATTGGCGATGGTCTGGGAAACATCCCTGAGGATGATCCGAAGACATGCCATCACAATTTAGATCCTCTGCAGAGGGGATGGCACTCCTGCTTCGGTAGCCCGACGACCTGCACTCGAAATCGAGCACTTTACGGTAGAACAGTTTAACGAGGACCAAAACCGAACACCCTAGGTCCCTACGCAGATCCAAGTGGTCACCCGCACACTGACAGCAACCAGTGATTTCTGACTTCGGTGATCTGCTGCAAGCCGTGTCTTAACGATCAGTCCACTGCGGGACCAAACTATCAGTAATAGTACAGATCACGGTGACTTTATATATCGATTAACCATTGATTGAATTTATGGTATAGATTCAACATCGGCCAGTCTCGTGATGTAGGTTAGATTTATGGTGCAGGTAAAGGGTAACCATAAGGTTACCTTTTACCTACATCGATATATTTATCTATATAGATGTATGAAATCGGTAACCATGTTATCATATAGTTAAGAGTCGGGTATTCAGGATTATACTATTCTGCGTGTAATTAATTATACATTAATCTATGTAATCAGGGATCAATTTAGGGGAAATTGTGATCCGTTAACGGATCCTTCCCAAAATATTTTATCTTAAAATCTCACTCTTATCAAAATTCTTCTTTTGCAAAACGCGGCTGATGAAGACTTTAATAACTTTAACTACAACTCCTTGAAACATGGTTTTTGCTTTTTTCCCAGTATCATGGGTCTGGACGAAAGAATGCGAAACTTCTATAGGGTAAACCAACCAGTGAAGGAACACGACCCAGTGAAGGAACATTTCATATATATTGATTAAAAATAAGATTTTGAAAGTTTTTCTTTAGATTGATTGGTAACAATAGCTTACTGCCAAACAATAGGAGGTCATCTAGCAATGTTTTGGATTACCTGCTCAAATATACTTCTCTGGAAAAATTTTTGAATTTGTTATTATCTGTGCAACACCTTGTTTCGTTGAAAAAATTATAAGGTGAGTATTTGTAATTATATGTTTGAAGTGGAATTAATTGCATGTAATAGTCTTATTTTTCTCACTGTGAAAAAGAGAATTCAAAATATAGTTATTGAAGTTACGTTTTATTTTTTTTAAAGCACCATAGCATAATCAAGTACTGAGATAAGGGGGTGTTTATTCACTGGATCACCAAACGATGAAAAACCAGTGAAGGAACAAGTGTTCCTTTACTGGGTTTTTCTCCCAGTTAATGAAAATAAAAGAAATTTTTTAATTTTCTTGTACTTTTAGTCATATTATACATCAAAATTCTGTTTAAAAGACAAAAACCAGCTTCTAACCAGTGAAGAAACAGGCATATTCCTACACTGGGAATACTTCCAGTGAATGAACAGTAATGTGTGATATATGATTTTACATGACTCTAGGATAAGTAATTCTGCTATATAGAGGACAACCGAAATTTTGTTAAAAATTGTATGAATAATTCCTGAAATAATTTCAGTTCAAAATGTTAATTTAATAGCTTAATTTATGAAAAAATTATAATTTATATTTATTAACGGGGTGTGTAGTTACATCAAATGTTAGGCAACTTAATAAACTATGTTTACAAATCGAAAACTAATTAAATATAATCATAAAAATAGAACATTTTTTCGCTGGCTTTTGCACCAAGAACTCCTAATAAGCTATCATTATAGGATAGCAACGTGATTATATAATTTATAGAAACTACTTTACAATGTTAGAATTTAGAAGTAAGTTCCTCAACAAAAAACAAAGTTAAACAGAAACGATACTCAATTTCTTCAGAAGCTTGAGAGGGAAATCCCTCAAGATATGTTGTAAATTTTTAACACAGCATTGACGGAAGAGTCTAATATCGAAAATGTCCAAGAGCCTGTACTTTTTTCAATATGGAAGAAGCACGTATTAAAAGAAGACCACTTGGTTAAGTCAAACTTAGGAACTGAAGCTAGTATTGATAATGAATGCATATTAGATATCGAATTTGAAATGAGTCCTCATGCTGATTCTCTTAGTTGAAAAAAGAAATGATTCTGTAAGTAAAATCAGTACTTCTAAAGATCCTCTAGATATAAGTCAACAAGAGATGGATTTGCCTCAAACTTCAAGACACCTTTCCCCCGTCTATTTTCGAGAAAGGCATTCTAGAAATGTTGCTGAAAAATCAGAAGAAGTTTGGAAGAACCATTTACATTGGCCAAATATTGATGATAAAAAGAAAGGTCAAATAAGAAGAAAAACGAATAAATTACCTTTTGCACTAACTTCAGAGAAATGGCAAAAATTTCAAGAGGCTGAAAGATCTAAAAAAAGTTAAAACAAGAGAACATGGAAAAGAAAAAGAAAGAAAAAATACTTAAAAAAGAAAAAAAGCTTCAAGAAATAAGAGGAAAAAGAGTAAACAAAAAGGTGATAAAATAATAATGATAATAAACAGCATCGGATGACACAATGATTTAGATTTGACTGTCAAATTATAAGAAAGAATGATTTTTTAAAATTTATTTTGTATTTAACATCACTTTAATTTCTAGTTCATGATTACAGAATGAAGTTAGCATTTTACAAGTACTTGTATGTTATAATTTCATAAATAGTCTTGTTTTTATATATTTGTATGGCTAATGAATTCATAAAGAGCATTAAAATATAACCAAAATTAAGTGTTCCTTTACTGGGCAATTTTGTGTTCCTTCACTGGTAAGAGCTGTTCCTTCACTGGGTCTTCTTACTACTTGTTATTTGAACCTCCAAAACTTTAAAACAATATTATGTAAGTTCTCTACAATTTTTTTACATAATTTGCAATTAGTAACAAATATGTTGATACTGTCATTTAACTAAAATTACGAATTTTGAAATTAATATGATTTTTAAAAAGGCAAGCGAAGCTTAAGTGTTCCTTCACTGGTTAGTTTACCCTACTAACTCTATGTAAACAATCTACCTTTTTTATTTTAGCAGTAAATATTTTGAAAGATTTTAGGTGGCAAAACTATTAACACATTTAAAAAGTTTTTCGAAATGGTGTGCTTCTACTCATGCGAAATTCGGATAAATTATAATGAACTTTGGAAATTAATAACTTCTTTTTAGCTTTAATACCAGCAAATTTTAAAATCATTCTCTAGAATTGCGATATTTACATGTTGTTCTTGTTGTTGCTAATGCGACTGGCTAGTACCAGCAATCCTGCTTGATATCAAGATGATTTTTAAGGCAGATAGTTTTCTTGTTTTTCCAGTGGCGCCGTCTATGGCCAAGAATAGGATTTCAGCCACACACGTCAGCCTATTTTACAGGGAGTACCCATTCATTCCCCCACAGATCGTAATTTTGACTTGAACTAGAGAGCGAATAATCTCCAATTCAGTACCCAGTTATGTGAGCTTGGAGGACCTAGTGACCCCATCAGATGCAGCAGTCACCATTTAATGCACGGGGACTCTTTGGCTGGTGGGATTCAAACTCCCTTTCTCACGAACACAAGCCTGACATCCTAGTAATCAGGCTATATTTGCATAAAAATACTTGTTTAATTATGGTGATATTGAAGAAGAAAAGAAGCTTTCAATTTAATTTGGTAGATGTAAGTTTTGCATGGGTAAAAAGAACACCATTTCTGAAAGTTTCAAGTATGATCTTACAAATCAGTCTAACAGTTTTGTCATGTAAAATATTCTAAAACACTTGCTGCTAAAAGCATAGAGATAGTCTACAAGTGCTACCAAATTTTTGTCTAATACATATTGAAAAATTCCTTTAATGAAACTTAATTAACTTGTTTCAGTTATTTTTAAGTATACATTAAAACACGTTGGATTTAATTTTTGAACGTTTTTTTTTGTATATTGCAGACTATTCTTTATTTTGTATTTCTTCGCATTTGATCATGAAACAAAAATAGTACCTTGCAGCAGAAATAGAAACAGATTCAGAACAGAAAGCGAAATTTACAAAAATAAAACCTATTCCGAAAAGTCTAGAATAACCTCTATTGATAGTACCTAAGCTGACAGCGTCTTCAAAAAACTAAAAAAAAGCAAAATTTCAAAAAGAACATTCTTGTACTCACCTCTTTTACTTTCCAATTATGCCGACCGGACTGTATAGTGGTCAGGGAGCTGACCTCATACCAGAAATGTCCTGTATCCCGGACAAGGTTCGAATCCCGGACAAGGCATGAATGTTCCTTCATTCTTCACACTGTCTGTCCTTACTATGGGAGCAGCATTGGCCCACCTAATATGCCCTACTGATACCCGAGTGACAAGCGTCAATCGGGTAGTCAAAGGAAAAAATAAACTTTGCAATTATTTAAAAAAAGTATTTATGTTAGAGACCAAATTAGAAATTATTTTATGTTATTAAATTAGCAAGGTACATCAGTGTTCCTTCAAAAATTCGTTATTTAAAAATCTTACTGTCAGATTTTAGTTTTCCGAGAACGCTGATCAGCTTACATTATATTAAATGAGATTAATTGTGTGTAGTGCATTAATTGAGTACAATGTGTTGCAAAAGAAATTATTTAATAGTTGGTCAATCTCATAACTGCGCCAATCACTGGTCTTGTGGTTCCTGTACTAGGCTACGGGGAAAGTGGTTTATGGGTTCGAATCCCACCGTAAGCATGAATGTAACTTTCTCTCTCTGTGTGTTCTATGTCCTTTATTATGTGAGATTGTGTAAATGGAACCCGTTCTATAAACGAGTTTGTGGTTGTATGA